GACAGGAACAGGCTCTCTCTACCCACCTCTAGGAGATGGAGGCAGGGATGGGTTGTGGCCCTATGACTACCACCAAGGGGATATGCAACATCTGATCTGAGTTAGAGACTGGAAGTCAAACAAGCTGAAACTTGGGATGAGGACCATCACTTTGTTAGCCAAAACCAGATGGCAAAGTGTATTTCTAACAACATCCCTTTTCCTTGGGGTTTTATTTCATGATGTAGTCAAGTCCAACGGCTGGGCCTCACCCAGTCTGTAAAATGGCTAAAGATCACTCATGTGACCCTGCTTCTTCCCCAGGTCAGGAGCTGGCTCCATAAACTGCACAAGGATTGGCCAAGTACCCACAGGTAGCTTCAAATTGGGGCATCTGCTATCGGAGGATGCTGGGTGCCTGCTGGAGGAGTGTGAAGGCTCTGGTCATTGACAAAAGACAGAAAAAGGAACAAGATTACTGGAGACTCCCTTCCTCTCTCATACTTTAACCCTAAAGTTAATAGTTAACATCTGGGCACTTACAATGTCCAGGCATGAAATAAGGACATCACATGCATGCTCTCACATCAGCCTCATAAGAACCTGATGAGACAGCTACTGTGATCCTCATTTTACAGAGTATAAAACCATAGCATGGAGATGTGAGTGACTTGCCTAAGCCACAAGTAAGAAGTGGCACCTCTGGCACCAATGCCCAGACTCTAAACCACACAGCTGTAGAACACAGTGGACCCCAAGTAGTCCCCAGAGCTGGTCACCAAGGAGATGCTAGTTCCCTGCTTCAGAAGCACCTAGTCCTAGGTTGGCACTGCAGCTCAGCAGTCCTCTTAGTAATCCCTGGGCATCCAGATCCCTCCCATCTCTCCCACAGGGGCCTTTGGAAGGCAGGGGGCCTGGCCCAGCTACTTCAAATGGGCCTCCATGTGGCACACCCCATCACCATGCCTGCAATTGTTGATGCCACCTGTAAGAGTCTAGGCCATGCAGAGAAGAAAACAATCTCTTCTTAGGGACTTCAGTGACACCTAAACAAGCAGGACAGCTCTGGTAACTGGTTAATAAACATTCTCCAGAAAGCATTTCCTGACACCCACTTGCGGTCCTGTTTCCCTCTTTGCAGCATGGGTTGTCCTGCATCACCATAGCCTTTCTCTTGTCTATACCTGTTTCTGGGCAGGAAGCCCTTTGGGGATGGGAATGGGTTGGTCTGTAGCTGTGTAAGGGACATTACAGCTCTCAGCAAGGAGAGCTTGAGTGAGTGGGACTTCCCTCAGATGTCTGCCTAGTGGCCGGGCGCGGTGGCTCAAGCCTGTAATCCCAGCACTTTGGGAGGCCGAGACGGGCGGATCACGAGGTCAGGAGATCGAGACCATCCTGGCTAACACGGTGAAACCCCGTCTCTACTAAAAAATACAAAAAACTAGCCGGGCGAAGTGGCGGGTGCCTGTAGTCCCAGCTACTTGGGAGGCTGAGGCAGGAGAATGGCGTGAACCCAAGAGGAGGAGCTTGCAGTGAGCTGAGATCCGGCCACTGCACTCCAGCCTGGGTGACAGAGCGAGACTCCGTCTCAAAACAAAAAAAAAAAAAAACAAAAAAAACAAGATGTCTGCCTAGTGTTGGAACACCACGTCGGGGTCACATCCTTGACCAGACCCTAAGCTGCATGAAGGCTGGTACTCCAGTTTCTCCCTCTCTCTGTAGCTTCCCCATGTTCTGGAAGGAGCTGGCCTGCACCTAGCAGGCACATCAAGATAGATAAGTGGTTGGCAGAGCCCCCTCTCCCAGTTCTTGCGGGGCTGGCTGGCACCTCTCCAGGGCTCAGCTGATTTCTCCTCCTCAGAGAAGCCTTCCCCGGCCAGCTCATCTCCAAGCTCCCAAGCGCCTGGTCCCTCATTTGGCCTACTTTCACTCCTTGCAACACTTTCAGTCTCTAAACTGTCTAGGTTGGCTGGCTGTCTCTTTTTCAGACAAGAGTGTGAGCTCCATGAAGCAGAGGCCACTCTGCCCTGATCACTCCTGCACTCTCACACAGAGCCTAGCACAATGCCTGGCAGACAACATGTGGAGTGAATGAGAAAAAGGCCTTTAGGGAAACAAAAGTGAAGAGGAGAACAGAAAGAGGGCCTGGACACACTTCCTTCTCACTCAAGGGCCAAAAAACAAAGTTCTAAGTGGGTGGATACCCAGAAGGTCTAACATCCATGTGCTCCCACATCCCCACCCAATAGGCTAAGGGCTGGCCACCTTCTGAGGACAGTCAGTGTGGGTGTGTGGCACTGTTCTGAGGGGTGGAACAGAGCAGCATCCTCAGTAGACATGGCCCCAGAGTCTGGCTCCTCTCCCATCACAAAACAGGACATAAGTGACCACAGCAGTGACTGGGCACAGCTCTGACTGCTCAGGACATCCTCCTGAGGTCAGTTGGGCCTGGCTTCATGTTGGGGGCAGGTATGATCATGCCAATGACTCAGTGCCACATGCAGGCAGAGGAAATGCCTCAGATTCAGCCAACTGGAATCTGAGGAAGGTCTTCATAAAATTTAAAAATACATATTATTATTTAATATACAAGAGCTGATGTGGCTGATGCCAGAGTAAGGATCTGCTCTGAGCTACTTTTCCAGTGATAGTGATGGGCTGTCCTGGCCAGTCCCATGCCCTGCTGTGACCTCTCCTATACACCCACAATAGCTGGGGATAGGGAGGATGGATGTGTGAGACACTGAGTCAAGGTCTCTAGCCCCCATGAAAATGGACCGCTGACATCCACCTCAGGAGCACTGGGCTCAGATTCAGAACCAGCTATGCCCAGACCAGGAAAACAGATTTCTGTGCAGCACAGGTAGTAGTTGCCTGAGATATGACAAAGCAATGATACTCCCTTCTCATGCCCTTCAAAAAAGAAGAGAAAGCTAGATGGAAGAAACGACACTGAGGTTGTACTTGACCTAATGATAGTCTCTGTTAACATCCCAGGAATGGGCATCATGGCATTTGGGAGCCAGGGGCTGCCTGGGTTTGTATAGCACATTAGCTTTCCCATTATGCGCACAGCCCCTTTGGCCTTCATAACAGCCTGGAGTTGGAGTAGGGACAGTTGACTCCATTTGAGTTGTAAGGAAATTGGGGTCCAGAAAGGTTAGGTAACTCCCTCTAGGTCACACAGCATGTACACTAACTAGGCAAGAACTAAAATGTCTTCTGTTTCCTATCTAGCAACTTCTCCCGGTCTCCCTGGCTGACTGCCAAACATATATATAGCTTTCCTGGGTGTGTCACCTAAGTTCTGGGCTTGTTTCCTCATCTACACAGAAGAATCGTGCTTAGTTCACATTACCAGGCCTGCCACCTATAAGAGTCCTTGCTAAGCAGAAAGTCAAAAGTCCCAAAATATGTACAAATACTTAAATCTAACACTATTACTTTTCATGGCCAGATGCTTTCAACAGAACACAAAAACTTTACCTTCCTGATGACTGTGTTTGCTATGGGGAAACCCTTGGCCTTGTCTTACTGAGAGAGCAGGGAGTGCAGGAAGCAACCCAGCTCTTCCGCTGCCTGGCTGTATCACTTTGGGAGAGGTACCCCATCTTGCGGAGTTGCCCCTTTCTGGCTGTAGCAGAGGTGGCTGCAAGAATCAGAGTACTCTTTCCTGGCACCTACAGACCCACCTGATCGTGTCTCAGGCAATACATAGTAAAAACACTACGACAGGACAGCAGGATTGGGGTCCCTTCTCAACCCCTTGCAGGCCATATACAACCCCAGACAAATCCTTTATGCTTTGAGGCCTGGCTTTCTCATCACTAAAAATGGGGGTAGTCTCCCTCCCTTCCCAGCTGGCTTTGCACAATTGCTATGAAGCCACAAATAAGACTGTATCTGTGAACAGGACAAAGGACCCCTTGGAGAGAAGGCTGACTCCCAGACTGGGGCAAGGGAAGTCCAGGGTAAGGTTGGAATATCTTATTGTGTTAGAAGGGCAAGAAAATGTACAGAAATTGATGGAGACATGGCAAAAGGATATCAGAACCAGGCTGAAGATCAAATTTGAGGTAATGTGAGCATTAAAGTAAGGAAATGAATATAACTTACTAAATTTTAAAAAATCTGTAAACCAACATTGATACTTCAAAAAAAAAGAGGAAGGGCACAGGGAAAGGTTTTATTACAAACGAATGCCAACTAAGAAATGCAGAAATAAAAGAAATTTTTAAAATCACTATTTTATAACCACCAAGAAATGAAAAAACAACCCACTGTTTTATAACCACCACTGTAATAAAAAATTCAGGTAAAATCATCAAGGGTTGCTGAAGCCACTGGGTGAAATACCGTGGTACAGGATGTGCAGAAATCCAACAGATACCACCTTAACTGAATAAGCAAGCAGAACATCTCCAGTGACGGGACAAACCAAGTCAGGTGCCTCCCAACGTGATGCACAGAGAAGGATGCAGCATCTCTGATGCCATTCTCCTAAGAAAATGCTCATCCTGAATCTAATCCTAAAACCAACCCAGATTGGAGGACATTCTGCCAAACAACTAGCCTGGACTCTTCAAAAGTATCAATGTCATGAAAGATTTTTTAAAAGCTGGCGAACTGTTCAAAATTAAATAAGACTAACAAACTGGCAGTCAAATGCAATATATAATTCTGAAATGGATCCTGGACCAGGAAAGAAAACCAAACAAAATTATAAAGTACATTATTGGGACAACTGAGGAAATTTCAAAATGGACTATGTAACAGCCAAAAATAAATACAGAAATATCCACATATATGCTTGCATGCACACACACAGTGAGGGGAGATAAGGCAGATGAGGCAAGACGTTAACAACTAGATCTAGGTGAAAATGTTTCTTGTACTCTTCTTGTAACTTTTCTGTAGGTTTGAGCTGTTTCAAAATAAAAGAAATAAACGTGGTATTTTGAGAACTATGAGAACTTCTGTATCTGAGCCAGTGGTGTCTGGGTTGACTGAGGTACACTCACCTGTCAGGTATTCCAGGACGGCGGCCATGTACACGGGTGCCCCCACTCCAATCCTGTACTTGGGGTGGCCTTTCTTGATGTACCGCAGCATCCGCCCCACAGGAAAGATGACTCCTGCTTTGGCAGACCGGGAAGTCTTGGTGGACTTCTTCTTCCCACCGCGGCTTGACATGGCGGTGGCCCTGGAGGCGGATCAGTGAGCACACTGTGAAGGCAAGAGGCACACCGGTCAGGGTGGCTGGGGACAGCACATGTCCCCTTTCCAGGTACACTCCGGTCCCCTGGAAGGCACTGGGCCTGCATGCAGATGCCACTGTCTGTAGCTGCGGAGCCCTCCGAGTCCAGGTGATGCACTCTGCTGGAGCAGTTTGATCCCTGAAAAGAAAGGCTTGGCTTTGCACAATTTATACCATGACATCGATTTTATTGGCCACTTCCATTTAAATGTTACACTGACAATGACTGCTCTTAAGTGCCTTGCCATTATGCCACATGATGAAAATGAAAATGGGATTTCTTGGCCACATTCTATACACTTGTTTAATAATTGCATTTTCATACACTTGAGACTGGGGCTGATAAATTTACTGAAGGCTTCATAAAAGAAAAAATAGCTATGACACCTTTCCCTAAAAAGATGATGCAAAGGCAGATACCTAGATTCTCTGATGAAAGCAGTGTCTCTATCTTATGATTCTTTATCTGTAAGAGGCAAGAACAGCTTACAGGAGTCAGTACAGTGTATAGCCAGGTTGCAGTAAGAGGCCCTCTGAGCACTTCCAGTCCACCGGATGGGCCAATCTTTACAGAAGAGAGAGAGGTGTTTTTCCTTCCTTGTTCCCAATCCCCATCCAGTCACCCAGTCCAAAGGAAAAGCCTCCTCTACACCTCTTGGGGGGTTCTTTCTCTCCACCTCCAGTGATGGGATCCTGGTCATCACTATTTTAATCAAGTGGTCACAAACGTCTCCTGAGAAGGTCTCCCTACCAGAGCCCCCTCTCTAATCCACCCTCTACCCCATGGGTGGGGCAATCTGGGTACACACATATCTGAACATGTCCCGGCCATGGCCTGAAAGCTTTCTGTGGCTGCGACAATTCTCAAGATAGAACCATGACTCTTGGCCTGCCATGTAATGCCCTAGAAATCTAGGCCTGGCACACCTGTTCAGCTTTGCCTTGGGCCACTTGTGGTCTAAACTAGGACACAGGGAGCCACACAGGTTTCCCCCCAAATACCCTTCCACTTCTCTTCTCCCTGCCTGGGTAGTGGCTGTTCCCTTTGGCTGGGATCTCCATTATCTCTTACACTTGCCTCTGTCTTCTGCCAGCCCACAAATGTTGGGATCTGGCTGTTTCATCCTCAGGGCCCCATGTGTTGCACGTCACAGCATTGATGTACATGTGCCCATTCTACCATCAGACTGCAGGCGGGTGGAGGGGTGCCCCTAACTGTATTCCTACTGCAGCACTACTCAAGGTCTTGAATGTTTACTCAGAGCATCCTGTTCATTTACACATTCACTTCAGGGACGATGCTAGGCAGATGTGGTCCCTGTGGAACTGGTGATGGAAAAGTCAATAAATAACCCCCTGGTAATTTAAAAGATTAATGTGACGTATGCTTCAAAGGGAGAGTGCAGGGTGCTGGGAGAGTGGATATGAGGGGCCTTGGCCTGTTCAGGGGGCCCCTAAAGTCTTTCCTATGAACATGTTTGCTCACTGAACCAATTGGGCAGGTCTCCTATGTGCTGATAAACTGAGGTCAGGCTCCATGGTGTTTGGGGCCTTCCAGCACCAGCAGTCAATGCAGTGACCACTGGAGGCCACAGGGACAGGAGTTCCTGTCACTCTGATGCTCAACCTATACTAGGGACATTGTCAGGACATGCCATGGTCCACACTTAACACCTCTCTGACCCCAGGTGCATCTCAAATCATCTGCCTAACAGAGATGGCTGTGAGGGCAGCAGACAGAATTCTGGGCACTCTGGGGCTACTGTGTAGACAGGCCCAAGAGAGGTAAGATGGCAGAGGCCCTGGCTCTGGAGTGATGTTAGAAGAGTAAAGGCCTCTGACATGAGCGCCCTGTCAAGGGGTACCCAGTCTTAACTGCTCACTGAGGGCTAGAGAGACCCAGGAGGGTCTGGGTTTTTCTGAAACAATTAGTTAGATCCCCTCCTTGCTGCGATGAACTCCATTTTAAAACATTCCCTGCAAAAACGTGCCTGTGCTCACTCTGAACAGGAAACGATACGTGTATATGTGTGTGTGACTGTGTTTTCAGGCAAGGCTGTCACTGGGTTTCCTAGCAGTCTTTTGCTTTACTACAAATGTGTTTCACAGACCAACAACCCGATGCCTTTGGACTAAGAGCTTTTAAATCGGAATGTCTCCCCTCTTTCAGGAGGGGAGGCCTGTGGTCAGTGATGATTAACAGCAGCTCAGCCCCTTTCCTACTAGAGCACAGACTTCAGCTTTGTTTCTCAGCTAACCTGCTGGGCAAGTCTGGGGCTGCCTATGTGGGAACTGGACAGTGTTCTCCTCCAGAGAGGAGCCGTTAGCACTCAGAGACCTGGCAGGTCCTAGACACACTGACTCCTTAAAAGTGGTGCTCTTTGTCTTTCTCTCCTCTGACTCTAGCGGAGTCTTTACATCAACATGCCAGCGTCTCTCAGGTCTCTATGCCAGTGCGACACCTGGCTGCTGAGCCTCAGAGCTCTGTTCTGACTGCTGATGGCAAGGGCCTACTTACAAGTCCCACGGGTGCCTTGAACTCTTCTGGGTCTCTCAGCCTTATCAGTGTCATTGTCATGCACCAAGCTAGCCAAACAGCAGTCAACCTGGCCCCGACTTCTCGGCCCACCCCACAGCACCCAAGCATTAGCCAAGCTCTGCTGAACCGCCTGCAGAACGTCTCAGGCCTCTTCTCATCACCCTCCCTGCGCTGGTTCAGTCTCTTTACTTCTGACCTATTCTCACTGCACCAGTCTTAATCCGTGGACACCAGAAGCAGCTCTGCCTACTCTGATGATTCCTCATCAGCCTGAGCTTCTGAGCTAGTCACAAACAGCAGCCTTCAGCTACTTTTGGTGGCACTGCTTCCTGTCACCCCTGCCCTGGTTCACATGGCCACCCCTGACTTCTTGAGCCTGTCACACTGTGTTAAGGATGTCTCTGAACATGCAGTTCTCCTGTCTGGAATGCCCTTTGTCCTCTTGTCAACTTGCTGAACTGACACTCACAGCCTCCCTCTGCCATGGAGGCTTTGTGGACATGACCACAGCCTGGAATTGCTCACTGTTCCATGTTCCCATAGTATATATATCCCAGCACATGCCTCTCCAACTTGACTGAACTGCAAGCCACTTGATGTGAGGCACTGTAGTCAACTCATCCCAAGAAAGGTCTGAAATATCACAGCTCCTCCAGTGCCACCCTGCTGGCAGAAGAACATCTTCACTTCTCATTCTGAATCAGGCTCCTGTCCAATAAAGCAGCCTCAAGTCTGTCTGCCCAACAACAGGGTTGTCTTGCAGAGATTCTGTACTTTACCCCTCCCCATATTCTTTCTGCACTTCTAACTATAGTTCCCCAAGCTGCAGCCACAGCTATGAAAGAATTCTGACTAAGCCATGAAGCCTTATGACATCCAGCAACGTGTGGTGGTTTCAAAACACCCTTTTGAAAATCAACTCACAGTTGTGCAGTCTCCAGGTAAACCCATGAATGTGCCAGGTCCATCCTGCTCTTCAGAGGTTTATGCAGGTGTGGGCAGCTCCAGTCAGGCACCCATGACGGGGAGAGTGACTGTGAGGCTAACGGCAATTGAGCATTATGATTAATAACTAGAAGTCCAAAGCCAGACTGACCTGATTATAACCATGGCTCTGCCACTTACTGGCTGTGCATTTTTGAGCAAGTGATTTAACCCCTCTGAACCTATTTTCTTATCTTTCAAGTGGAGATGATGCTAGTAAGGGCCTCAAAGGGTTGGTGGCAGAAGTGAATCAAAGCATCCAGGTAAGGGCCTGACACTCACTCACTGGGCAAGTTCTCAGTAGTTAACAAAAACAACAATGTGTATAAGATGAAAAAAGGCCATCTTCTTGCAGAACAGATCTTGGACATTTCACTGAAGATACTGCTAGCTTCTGTAACAGTAAGTCTCTACAACTTATTTCTCACTCCTGAAAAATCCAAAATGGGTTTTCATGATTGGCTGGTGTTTCTTCTCCACCTAGCGATTCATGGATCCAGATGCCTCCCATCTTGTGACTCTCCTATCTTCAATGCGTGATTCCCAGGGTTGCCATGGAAAGAAAAAGACCATGGATCATAACCTATGAGGGTTTTAAGGGGCCAGGCCTGAGAGTGGGGCACTTCTGACTATGATCCATCAACTAGAACTTAGTCATGTGCCCACAACTAATTGCAAGAGAGGTTGGGAAATGTACTCTGGCTATTTACTCAGGAGAAAGGAGGAAACAGCCAGTCTCTGTCACATGACAAACCAATCTGAATGCTGACGCTAACCCCTGAATGAGTTACCAGCCAAAACCTATTGGGCCCTGTTTGACCCATGTTCTGCATCCAGCCTTGTTTGAGAAACAGACAGTCCTACATCATAGACAAAGCAGCTTCCTAAGGACTCAGCGTCTCTGCAGGGCAGTGAAGCTGGTCATGGGAGAACAGTTATACTATCCGGTCAAACTGACAAAGATGTGTTCTTCCGTCCTTCAGTAAACCAGGAGCCTTCACTCATGGTTCTGCATGCTTTGAAGACAATGATAGGTCCTCAGGCAACTGTGTCTGTTCATCATTGCATGTTAGCTTGATTGCCCTTTTGGCTGTTATCAGCCTAGAAAATGAAGGTTCTGTGATTGATCCTGAAGGGATCTCTGTGGTCTTTATCTCTGCAACTCCTCCAATTATATATCAATCACAATAAACATTAACCTTGTTCATAAAACCTCAAAGCCTACCCAAAGACAAACTTTTGTAGAGGAGCTATACGGAGAGATCAGTCAGGCTAGAGTGAGAAGCAAGAGAATCTGACCGCAGGCCCCTCAGCAATCGAGATGAGACTGGAGCAACACAGTCTGTTCTTGGCACACAGGACTAATTAGAAGGCTGGCTATGTAGACCACATGAATAAGGTGGACATGAGAACAAGCTGTGCACCACTAGGAGGGGCAGTAGGGGCAAGGAACCAAAGTGCCATGGAGGCCCTGCCACACCCTCCTATCCCTCCCCAGCAGGCATCCTAACAGGCTGCTCCCTGTACTGCAGACCACCTCCACTCCCACTGGCACCTTCAGCACACCCAGGACGCTCAGTCTGGACTCTCTACCCCTCTGTCTGGAGTAATCCTGCCTAGTGGTCCCAATGCCTTCTCTGGCAATGATCCATCAACGTGCTCCCTCTTCTGCATTCCTGCCAGGGCCATGCCTTCTGTCAGTCACAGTCTAGTTTGGGGAAGTTGCATGTCCAGACTCCAATCTTGTGCACAGGCCCTGTTGACCTCCAACACATCTCTCTATTTGCAACAACCAGAGAACCACCAGGATAAATCTCTCCCTCCCAGTACCCTCAATGGATGTGTCAGCTGCAGACCCAGGGCCCAGCTAAAAGTGCCTTACAATCTCCCTCAGCCTGCCCCTATTCTTTAATATACTCAGTTATTTTTCTTAATCTTATGTACAGTACTCTGCAAATGCAGTTTCCAACCCTTCCTTCCATCATGATTGCCAGTCACTCTAGATCCCACTTACACATAAATTCTGAAACCAGCTATCCCATTCTTAGCACTCAGTACATGGTATCATCATTGCCTGTTTACCTGTCTGTCTTGATGAAATGAACCAATTTGCTCTACTCACTACTGTATCTCCAAGCACCCACCACCCTCCCTGGCACCTGGTAAACACTCGAATGCCGGCTACGAGGTAGCTGATTAGTTGGCACTGACAGTGGATGGGGAGAAAGGAGAGGGCAGCATTTCCAAAGGCCACAGGACACGGAGCTATGGCCGGTGGGACACCAATCAGAGACATTCTCTTGGACCATTCATGTACATACACCTGGCAAAATCCTCATAGGAGCCCAGACACTCAAAATTCAGGGAGCTTGTAGAGCTACCTTGGGGATTCTCAGGAAAAGAACACTCCAACTGCCCTGATAGCTGGGCATAAGCCACACAGACGCCTTATGACTCTGTGACACTTCTATGGTTCCAGTGACCTCTCCTCCTGCTTCTGGCTCAGTACCATAGACTGCAGGAAAATACCTTCCTCACATCTGTAAGAGATTGACTCCTGTTAAAGCTACAGCACGGAAACCCCTTAAACAATCAGGACACTCATGAAGCCACTGGAATAGTCAATCATGAAGTCTTTTATTATCTAAGCAATGAATACATGCCTATTGATCCCGTGTAATATTGATTAGAACTGCTGGGGAGTTGCTAGTCAAAGAGCCCTATCTCCAGCCCCTGAGGATAGAGGAGTCTGAGCTATCAGTACTTAAATAACTGCTGATGAGGAATAACCATCCCATCCATTCTGGCAGCTGGATAAATGCCCACATATCCACATGCATTTGTCACCTTCCCATCAACTCCAATCACAAAGGCAAACCTGAGACACTTAATTCTGAAGGACAGGACACTAATCCTGTTTACGGCATTCTCTTCCCTCTTCTATCATACCAAATGATTCACAGTGTCACCCGCTGTCATGTCCCCAGAGGCATGTGGATATACTAGACAACCATTGCTCACAGAGCTGGGGTTCACAAGCTGCACTCTGATTGGCTTGGATCAGAGACCTGTTCTTGTATGCTAGCCAATCAGGAAAAATATCTCTCTCCATTCATAAAACACCATATCAAAAAGTGAGCCAGATGATTAAAGAACCTACAGTCCACTCTCAGTGAACTATGGGATTGCAAACAGAAGGGACAGACCAACCGAGATGGTAAATAAATCGTAAACCATGCATTTTGTTCCAGCAGATGTGTCTTACTCCTGTTATGTTTTCAGTGGCAGGAAGAAACAAAACACAAACACAAGTGTCATTCACCACAAGCAAGAAACAGTTTTGGGGAAGCTAGTCGGGGGCTGAAATTTCACCACTGCAAAACCATTCTGTGATCTGCTTCCCCAGATGCACTGAAGGAACTGTGCAGCTTGTTACATTTTAACAGCAAGTTATCGCCTGCCTGCTTTACAAAAAAACTTTCCTACATACTCCTCTCTCTTTTAAAGGTTGTGCCAAACTCTAAGATAACCAGTCTAATGGAAGGTCATTTAGAGAAAAGTTAAAGTGTGGGCTTCAGAGAACAGGACTCTGATGAGGCTTAGTATGTAGAATCCACTCATTTTTTGAGTAGACGTGTTCCCAATAAGAATAAAAAGAACACCTGATCCTGTCTCTCTCCTGCTCAGAACCTTTCAGTTGCTTTTAGGATAAAGTGTGGTTCTGACCAGAATCCTTTGTGATTTGTCCTGTTTGTTCCTCCCTGAAGCCTCACCTGACTACGCACCAGGACTCAGCCATCCCAAGCCTCTGGCAGTTCCCCACATAACCTCTGTTCTTTTCTTCTAAGATGCACACATGTGGTTCCCTAGGCCTCAAACACCTGTCCCCATCTGCCCTCCTTTGCCCAATCAACTTGACCTTTCCATGCCAGATAAGGGCTCACTCCTGGCTAGGTTACTGCCCCTGCCGGGGGCTACTTGGGGCCTTCTGCACTGACTTTACAACAGCTACTTGCCTGCCTTCTCCCAATGTCAGCTCCCCCAGGGTAGGGGCTAGGCATTTCTTAATCACAGCTGTGTCCCCGGTGCCTGAACAGGAGCTGATTCTCAGGAAATCTTTATGGAAAGACTCTGAGACACTGACCTGACAGGTTTGGTCCAAGCAAACAAGCTATACAACTCTTTGGAATGAAGAGTTGACTCACTCAGGCTCACTTGTAAGTGCTGAGGCAGGGCCCAACATAACTCTAAACCTACAGAATGTGGGAAGGACCCACAGATGTGGGCCCCCCTCACTCCTGCCCCTTCCCAGCCCATGTTCTAGGAGTGGGGCTCTGAAAAGCCTGTCACAAATCCTTGGGGACACTCGAATAAGAACCAGAGGCTGTTGCAATTCTGATGAACACCACATATAGAGTCTTGCTGGGTTCTTCAGCTGGAGGTTTTCAGTTTATGCTTTTATTTAAATAAATCTCCTTTAGGTGACTTGGGGCCGCATTAGCTCTGAAGGCAGGTCCCAGAACACATGCACTCTGAGGTTCTCAATGGGGAAGGAATGCGAGACGCTCCTCAAGTTCTCCTCTCTCAGGGACCAGAAGAAACAGCAGATGGAGATGTGCCACTCCCTGACACTGGCCCATTTGGTAAAAACTAAACCAGTGGCGAGGTTGTATATTAGAATGTCACATGTGAAGTTCCAGAAAATCCTCAAAGTTTAATAAAATGTGAGTTAAATTGTGCCTCCTTCTAAAGGCCTGCCTCAAACAATTTTCATTGACACAACCCTCTAAAGGCCTCATCTAGGGATCAGCATTGACAATGGTAACAGATCAAAACCAAAGAACAGACTGGAAAGATTTATTTCTCCTTGTAAAACTAGAAGGGGGAAGAATTTGAAGTCTTTCAAGAGTTTTGTTGTTGTGTTTAAGAAAAAATAAGTTTAAAAACATACTCATCCTCATCGGAGAGTCTCTTGTGCAAGACTGAGATGCTGCTGCCCAACTCTAGTTAAATGTGTACAAGGGATATTAATTTCAGTTGCAGGCGTGAGGTGTCCATTTCAGAGTTAACACCTCTGACAGCAGGCTAGTAGCCTAAAGGTGGCCTGCAGTAGGTGAATTCCACCTAATTTACAACTCGGAGTCTCCCATTCAAACCTAAGACTGTTAAAAAATGCCGACTCTCCGGAGCAGGGAGCTTTGGAACAAAGCACTTCCCTCACCCCCCACTTAAACGGTAAAACCTCAAACCACAAAGGTGGAAGAAAAGAGGGAAGTGCCCCCTCTAATTGTCTATTCTTATGTGCTGTTTACTGGGTCATTAAAATCTTACAAAGCCTTTATAGTCACTGTAATTGTTGAATTCAAGGTTTGTATCAGTTGTTTGTACAGAAGTCTCTCACTTTGAAACTCAGAAACATTTCCCCTAACATCTTGTCTAAAAGAACCTTTCAAGCAATGTACTGACCAGCTGCTTGAGTGATCTGTGGCCCCTGCAGGAGTGGGGGTGGGGAGCGCCATGTCGCACACCTGTTGTCAGGTGACACTGCCAGCAGCATCCTGCGCACTCACCTCCCCACTCCACCCCACCCCCAGCGAGGCTCTTTCCTGCTGGCCTTCTCCACCCGGGGAAGCCCACAGCCTTCCGGAGTTACCTTTAAAAAAAAAAAAGCAAACCCTTCCTACCACAAAGCAAACAAAAGGTTGATACCAAGACAATCGGGAGCAGCGGGGGTTCCCGTGGCCCCTCTCCAGCCCACCCCTGGACCACTCCCCGACCCGGTTCCCAGCTCCAGCCCGGCTTCAGTCCCGCGAGTAGCCCCCGCCCTCCCCTCCCTGCAGATAGCGAGCCAGACGCCTACACCTCGGTCCCCCGGGGCTCGGGTCCGACTTATTGTGCCGGGGCCGGCAACTCGCGGGCCGGCGGGGGCCTCACCAAGTACAACTCCGCTCACAGCAGCTCCCGGGCGCCCAGGCCCAGGCTGCCCAGCCAGCGCCGCGGGGCCTCCTGCGGCCTCAGGCCTGGCCGGTGAGCCCGCCCCAGGAAGGGTCACCAGGGGAGGCGCCAGCACTGCTTTTTCCCACAAAAGCGCACAGGAGCGGGCAGGGGATGCATTTCGAAGAGAAGTTGGTTTCCGGGTTTGTTTCTTGAACAAAACCAAAGGGAATCCCGCGCGGCCCGACAGGGCCTGGGAGGGCGTCGTGCACGCGCGAGGACCCGGCGTGGGCCACACCGAACCCGGCGGCCCGAGCCCGGCCGAGCACCACACCGGTGCGCGCCAGGCCGGGCCGCTCCCCGGCACCCGCGGCCGGACCCGAGCGGCGGAGACAGGGAGTGCGGCAAGGGGCCCGCGCGGCACTTACGCGGCGGCTCGGTGGCGGCGGCGGCAGCAGCTGAAAGATGTCTCGGCCTGAGCCCTCCTGGCCGCTCGCGCCTTTTCTCTCCGCGCTCCTCGCTGGCCCGCCCGCCTCTTTGCTTCCCGCCCGCGCGGCCCGCGCTCTCCCCCTCCGCCCGGCGCCGCTGCCGAGTGAACTGGAACCAGTCCTCGCGGCCGGCTTCCCACAATGCACAGCGCGCCGCTCGTCACATCCCTTCGCTGCCCCGAGCGTCCGGCCTCCGCGCCCGCGCCGCCTAGCGCCCCGGCCTTGACCCCGGGTCCGCGCCCTGCCAGCTGACGCCGGCCGCTCTGCGCCCAGGGACCAGCCCGCGCCCCGGACGCGAGGTCCGACCCGTGACCCCGGCGTCGCCCAGAACCCAGTCCTTGGGAAGGGCCAGGACCGCCGGAGAGGCGCTTCTCCAGGGCGCGTCCCAGCCTCTGCATCTCGAGTGAGCGCCTACTGTGTGCCTGGCTCTGAGCACGGGACTGTCGTCGCCACGGCATCCTTAGGAACCTTCTCACTAACCCAGTGGGAAGGCACAATGGCTGTTACCAGCGATCGCTCTTCCCTCCCTAGCCAATGCCAACTCCCCCACCCCCCGCCTCAGAGGCCTCGCTGTCTTTAGATACAGGCCACCCCCAAGCCCTTGTCTGCCCCAAGGTCAATTACTGCGCACCCAGCTCCCCTGGGGTCCTTCAGCTATTCCCCTCACCCCAAGGCTGGATCCTGCCTTGCACGTGGAAGCGGTTAGCTACTTGGCTTCAGCAAAAGTTCACTTTCGGACCCAAGTTGGGAATTACTAATATAAACAGTGATTCCTTATCATCACACGCGTTTTTTAAAAACTGCGGACAGGCCGAAAGAGGAGGGCCCGCCACAAAGCCCTCCACGTCTTCCTAAATTGGTTTATCGCCTGAAGGCATTGGTGCCCCATCCCGGGTACTTAAATGGGGGCCTTCCCTCTACTCCCCTCCCTCCAAAGTGTGGAGCGGGAAGCCACTTCTCCATCCAGCTGTGAACTAAATTTGGGTAATAATACACATCCCTCAGGGTTGATGTGAAGTTTAAAGTGCCGCCACTGGGGATTATGCAGGTAATTAGAGACCCCACCCCCAACCCCAGTCCTCAGGCTGCGCGGGAATCGCAGCGGCAGTAACCTCCACCTCACCGGAATGCTTTACTCGTTACTGTAAGAGTTTGCAAAACAATGTCCAATACCTGCCATTCATGCATTCGTTAATTCAATTAAGTACTGAGAACGTATTTTGTGTCATGCAGCAATTTGGGTGCTGGATATGAAACAGCCAAGAGAACAGGCAGAAGTCTCTGCCCTCCTGGGGTTTGCATTCTAGTGGGGGAAGGAAAGACAAACGGGAGAATGTGTCAGAGGGTCTCCATGCGGTGGAGCAAAATAAGGCGGAGAAGGGGAATAGGAAGTGTGAGATAAGAGTGAGGCTCAAATATAAGAGAAGGCCTCTCTGAGAATGTAACATTTAAAGCAAAGGCCTGAAGAAATTGAGGGAGCAAGCCATGTGGATGTCTGGGGAAGAACTGCCCCAAGCATGAGGAATAGCAAGTGCAAAGGCTAGGAGCGTGTCCGAAATAGTCGAGACACAGCGAGTGTGAGGTTGGAGTAGAATGGGTGAAGGGGAAAGTAACAGGAGATGAAGCTGGAAAAATGATACTTATGATGCTTCTGGTCCCAAAACAAAGCGTTATGGATGTATGAGGATTTCCCAAGGAAGGGATGTCAGGAAAGGTGCAGACACCCTCCCGCACACCACACCTTGTTGTTCCATCCTTCTCTGTGTCTTTGGGCAAGGATTCTCCGTTCTGCGGGGACCACCAGGTGAAATTAAAGTCTACAGTCCTCCAAGAGCTGATCTGGGGCCGGCCCCACCTCCATGCCCCTCCACAGCGTGCCTTTCTCATAGAACACTCTAGGACCTTTGTCCTCTGGAGCTGTTCAGTGCAGCAGCTCTGACCTCATCCTTCTCCAGAAACCTCCACCTTCTCTCGCCTCTCTCTTCCTGCGCTTTGTGTGTCCTGTTCTTCCACTTCAGTGACCTGTCTCCTCCCCTAATCTGGCTCAGAGAGGTGTACCAACTGCTGCTGCTGCTATTACTTCTTCTTCTTTTAAAGGTTATTTTTTCCAATTAGAAAATAAAGCTATGCTCACTCTGAAAACATGAAAAATAAAAATGCTCAAAAAATAAAACTCACTCTACGTTCATTGCTAGGAGAGAACAGGCTGCTCCCATTGCAGCCTTTTTATCTATATCCACTTAATATTAAACATATAGAGTTTCTACTCCATTTAGTGATTGCACCTGCATTTTAAACTTAATGGTTCCTTATGAACATTTTACTGGGTAGTTATTCTACAATAACATTACTGGAACTGTTTGGGTTTCCCACGACCCTCTTAAAAATTTTTGAGAACCCTGAAGAGCTTTTGTCTTATAGGTTACATCTATCAATATTTGCTTTATTAGAAATAAAAACTGAGAAAAAGTAAATGTTTATTAATTTATTTTTAAAATGTTAGCATGAAAAGAAGTTATATTACATAAATAATGTATTTTAGGAAAATAATTATATTTTCCAAACAAAAATAATTAGTGGGAAGAGTGACATTGTTTTACAGATTTGCATGGTTCTTGAACGTCTGGTGTAATAGGAGGCTGGCTTCATGCCTCCTCCTACATTCAGTCGGTCACTATATGTTGTTTTGTTTGAAGTATGTGAAGAAAATTCAGCCTTATGTAGATATGTATATGGGAAAGAATAGAAGAATTTTTTTTTTTTTTTTTTTTGAGACGGAGTCTCGCTCTGTCGCCCAGGCTGGAGTGCAGTGGCTGGATCTCAGCTCACTGCAAGCTCCGCCTCCCGGGTTTACAGCATTCTTCTGCCTCAGCCTCCCGAGTAGCTGGGACTACAGGCGCCCACCACCTCGCCCGGCTAGTTTTTTGTATTTTTTAGTAGAGACGGGGTTTCACCGGGTTAGCCAGGATGGTCTCGATCTCCTGACTTCGTGATCCGCCCGTCTCGGCCTCCCAAAGTGCTGGGATTACAGGCTTGAGCCACCGCGCCCGGCCAGAATAGAGGATTTTAATCGCCTTTTCAGACAATTACAGATGTTCTTCTTTCATACTACACCAAAATGCAAGAAGGAGTCGTTTCTTAAAGGTTAAGCGCAATGTAGAACCTGAAAAAAAAAATCGATAAATTTTTGAACTCAGTTAATACATTAAAATCCTTTGGCCTATTTTATATCTTGACTGGGTCCTTTAGCTATGCATGATTTGGTAAAATCATACATTGGTCATTTGGGAAATAGCAGTTCACTGATTTATATGGATCTTACAAATGTAAACACATTTCATTGTACAATATTAGAAAAATCACATCTATTAATAGCACCTCTGATCTCATCTGAAGGTTTTCAAGTATTGGGAAGTTGTCAAGCTCATAGTGGCAGATACGAGTTTCCCAAAATTGTAATTTCTGCTTGAAAGCTCAAGTTTATCACTGACAACATAATGTCACAGAGATTTTCCTACAAGTGACAGGTTCATTTCATTCATTTTCAAGAAAATGTCTACCACAAACAGAGAACCACATTATGACTTTCATGGACCATAGGCATTTTTGCCTCCATGGGCCCCTTCCTCTACTAAAAAGACAACTGCACTGGTATAAAGACAAATACATTAATATCGTATATTAAAACTGTGCCTCGTGGAGCATTCAGCCCTACATACACCCAATTCTGAATACCCGTAGTTTGTCAGGTGTAGCTTCTCCATTAGAAACAGTACTCAGGCCCCCAGGACTTTATGGGTCCACAAAAATGTCTTAATTTCTTTTAAAATCAGAAGAAAATGAAGGTTAGTTCTTTTATATTGAAGAAAATATTTTAATATATAACGTTAATATATTTGTCTTTCTACAAACACAGTTGTAAAATATTTTTTTCTATTGTTTTATAGAAGAAGGGACTCATGAAGGTAAAAGTGCCTAGGGCCATGAAAGTGTAATGCAGCCCTGCTGTCAGTCCTTGTTTCAAGAAAAACTGGTGTTCCATGAGAAAAGCAGCTAGTTTAACTCACAGCTCAATCGCACACGTGCTTCTCCCCAAGGTGACCATCCTAACGGAAGTGCTTTATGCATACTTCCCATTTGGTCACATGGAATATTTTAAAATGTGTTCTAAAGGGTCAGATTTAATAAAATTAATACATTTTACTGTTTCATCAGAACATTCTTAAGTTAAACTGGTTCTTTTTTTGGCTGCGAGTGCTTGATAATAAATAATAAAATGATGATCAGTGCGGGATGATGCCATTGCTGATTTGTGGTAAGTCACCAGCAGTTTTATCCACTATTGTTCTGCACCATTAGTGCAAAGATCAACACAGGGAAAAGCCAAATAATGTCTTAATGTTAACATGAGAATACTTGTGACTTTTTGTACCTCCAGGAAGGGTCTCAGTGACCTTCGGTGGTCTGTAGACTACATTTTGAGAACCACTGCTTCACAATATCCACAAGCTTGGCCATCGTTAATTTAAATAACTCCTTATTTTGTCTTCGTTCAGGCTGTTTCCAACTCTATTATAAAGGCATTATTAATATTTTTAAAGATTGGCCAGGTGCAGTGACCCACGCCTATTACCCCAGCACTCTGTCAGGCCAAGGTGGGCAAATTCCTTAAGGTCAGGAGTTTGAGACCAGCCTGGCTAACATGGTGAAACCCCATCTCTACTAAAAATACAAAAATTAGCTGGGCGTGGTATGCAGGCCCGTAACTGCAGCTACTCAGGAAGCTGAGGCACGAGAATCGCTTGAACCCAGGAGGCGGAGGTTGCAGTGAACCAAGATTGCACCACTGCACTCCAGCCTGGGTAACAGAGTAAGACTGTCTCAAAAAAAAAAAAAAAAAAAAAAAAAAGATATATATTTTGTGTACATCTGGTCGTTAAGGATAAGTTCTTAGAAGTGGAATTGTTGAATCAAACATCCCAATTTTAAAGCTTTAACACAGGCAGCCAAATGGCTCTCCAGAGAAACTGGGACAGTGTTTGGGCCAATAGGCAAGGCTGAGCATTCTGATTTCCCCAAAACCTTCTTGCCCTACCCTGAGTGTTCCCCAAGACCAATAATTTCTGAGAGTCAAACAATGGAGGTGTCACCATTTCTCTCAGTTTATCTTGAGTGCCTTTGTCGAAGGACAGAGAGTAGGTCTCCTAATCTTTTGATCAACACATATCA